CAGCCTGTATCCTGCTTTGCATTCTCATACATGTTCTGGACTAGTTGCACAGATACCAGCTGCTCCGGGCAAAACCTGTTCTTGCCTCGTCCCTCTCCTTTTCTTAAAGAGTTGTATTGCCGGGTTGGGTTTTGAGCGGCAAGTCTTGAGTTGCTTGACGAAGCTGCTTCTGCCAAACCCTAGACCCTTAAACCCTTAGACCCTTAGACCCTTAGACCCTTCAACCCTTCAACCCTTCAGCCCTTCAGCCCTTCAGCTCTTCAACCCTTCAACCAGCAAACCCTTTAGCCCTTTTAACCCCCAGAACCCTTTAGCCCTTTAACCCCTAAACACTTTAACAAGTTAGCCCTGAAACCCTTCAACTCTTAAAACCTTTCAAGCTGTGCCGAACCCGCCATGGACTTTGCACTGAAGTTCTCTGCATCCTTGCAGAGATGCCGTAAACTGGACAGAGGATGTCTACACTGCAAGAATCGTCTCTTGCAGGGGAAAAACAGCTTTATTCCATTCTTTTCCGGATCGGTTTAGACATGTAAACTCTCAACCCCAAACCCTAAACCCATGTCCTCCTCCCCCCAGACCTCTGGCCCACTGCAGTTTGGAAAGGTTGCTACCTGAACGTGGCCCCTTACATGAATGAGCTGCAAGTGTATTCCAGCCAGCTTCATCGGCTTGATCGGGCTGTAGCAGACCGGGACATCCTCTGGGTTTTTAGCCGATCCTTGAGCTACGAGTCGGAGTCCAAAGAGAAACAGGTAAAGAAGAGAAAAGCCCCGTCCTGTATGATTTTTGGAAAGCCTAAGAGGCGGAAGGCCAGTTCATCGACAAGCCGGGCTCCTCATGAATCTGGGAGCTCTCAGGCCACCAGCGAGCCATCAGAAAAGTCTGAACAAAGTACTTCTGAGCCAGACTATGAGGACGATGCTAAGGCTGATGATGAGTCCACATCAACTTCCCAGCCGGAGTCGGAGGGATCTGATGTGTTCTCAGCCGAGGAGAGCAAGCCTGGACCTTCTGCTCCCCAGAGAAGGAAGCAGTACAAAAGAAGGGTTTGCACCAAAAAGCCTTCTGTACAGTTGGAAGGCATCGTCCCTGCCAGTCTCAGAGTTTGTTTCAAGAGCGCTCTGGCTTTCCTTTGTGCATCTTCTTCGCAATTGGCAGTTCTTTTTGTGCTTTCTTTGCTTCACTTTCCCTTGCGGGTTGTTTTGTTCAGAGTTCACTGTCAAGGTTGGCTATGGTCGCGTGCACCGAGTGTTTGGGCAAGCAATTTGTGCAACTTTTATCATTGTTTCACTGCATTGATGTTTATTCAGCCATGCGCATTGAAGAACAAAGGTGTTACAAGGGGTGCCAGACAGGCGTGCCGAGGCCAACTCCATGAGATCAAAGAACCCGGCGAACAGTCCGATGCTGCGGGTTTGCAAGCTATTTCTGTGGCATCGTTATCAGTACGATGCTGAAGGCATGCCAGACAAGTTCCGATTCGAGACAAGTTCTTCCGGCGCACACAAGACCAAGATCGTCGACTCGATCCTTGTTTGGTCAAGCACTTTTTCGATGTGTTTGCTTCTCAATCATGATCGCAAGTTCAGAGTTTGTGTAGAAGAAGCAGGGTTTTCTAAGCCCCAAACCCCAAACACCAATGGAGGCGGCGGCAGTTGGAAGCAAGAAGCGGATCGTCATCTTCGTCTGACGTAGATGCTGCAGAAGATGCTGAAGCTCGCACAGTGGCATCATGCTCTCTGCAATGCTGCTCGCTCCTTGAAGCACCTGAGAAGGTGCTAGGCGGTCCAGGTGTCGGACCAGGTCCCAGGCGGTATCTGGGTGTGGCTCGACCTGCTATGATGTTCCTATGGCTCCAGCAATGGGCCAAAGAGAACAGTCACCCTGTACCGTCCTTCAGCACTTTCTGCCGGGCAGTCCGAGAGTGCCGCGGGTGGCTCAAGTTCCGCAAGAATGCTGGAGAGCATCCCGTTTGCGACACTTGCTGGCTGCTTGGCCTAGACTCAGCAGTTTTGTGGGCAGTCCAGTCCATGTAGGTGCATGGGGCACAGAAACAGAGTGACTTAAGGAGCTTCAAACAGCAACTCCGGCAGCATCTCACTGCTGCTCAGAGAGCCCAGCCCCTGGGCACAAACGAGACCCGAAGAGAATTGCGACCTCTCTGTGGGGATAAGTATCCAGCCCTGAGCAAGGACCTTGGATGAGTACATCAGACACCTGATGCTTCAATGGCAGGATCGCGAGGCAGACCTTCGGTGGGCAGCTCTCAGCGTTCAGCTGAGGACAACTTTGCGTTCTTCGGCAAGTTTAGCATTCACTTTTCTGTTGACCCCGATCAGCTTACACAGAGACCCTGTCAAGAACTCTGAGGATTTTTAGCTTGATGCCCCAGGAAAGTAATTCTTTTTACAGGCGCTAGGGCAGGTGTCCTGCAAAATGGCCATATGGTTTTGGGTATTTGTTTTGTGCAAGGAATGGGAGTCAGGATGAGGGACATCCAGGAATCCCTCAGCGTTCTGCTGCTCCGGGCCGATGCCCTGGACCAGGCTAAACACAAGTGTCCCAGGGTACTGACTAAGACACATGCCTTCGACGCTTTGCTGAGACCGAGCCTGTCGGTGATGATGCTGTGGGCCCAAGGCCACGCCCTGGCCTTTGACATAAAGGACCCAGACAACTTCAAGAACACCAACTCGAACGTTGAAGGGATGGCTCGGGTATTGGACATCGTCTACAGGAGTTGCAACTCTTCCCTTCCTCACCACGTGGCCATCTTGCAGGACAACTGTTCTCGAGATTGTAAAAATGGGTTGTTGCTTTCCTGGTGCATCAAACTCAAAGTCCTCGGGGTTCTCGACAAGATCTCCCTGCTGTACCCTGAAAAAGGGCATACCCATGGGCCGCTGGATGCCCTAGGCGGGCAGGCAGTTGTCAAGTGCTCCAACAGCGAGTTTAGCACACCAGATGAGCTGGTGTCCCTGTACACTGGATTCCTTCAGGATTCCAAGGTGGATGGTGGTGCATCTTTCCGAGGTGCTTGGAAAGGCATTTCGGCCATGGTTATGTAAGAGTCTTTGTGGTATTTCGGCCATGGTTTGAGGATCCAGAGTTTTGCCTGGAGAGGGGCTGGTGGGGGGAAGGGGGGAGGGGGGGTTGGAAACTATCAATTTTAATTCCGAGTGGTTACCAAGCAACAGCAAGGCGACCAACAAGCCGACTGGAAGAGCTGGTGGGAAGAGCTTGGCTTGGTTTTTGCAAACCTAACAGGACCGCAAGCGCCACACTCGCTGCTGCTACTGCAAGTGAGAGCTTTCTTTTCTGTGTGAGAGGTTGGCTTGGTATAGGCAGATCCTGGTGTGAAAATTTGAAGAAACTTTGTAGCCCAGGTTTGAGATCACAACTCTCCGAGCACTGGGGTACCTGCAAGTGCCTGTGACAGCATGGCCAGGGGCCCCAGCTTCCCACCCTGAGGACATCGTCCTCGTTGTAAGACAAAGGATGGCTTCTCGTCGATACTTTCAGGTGTGCCTGCTACTCCCTGGAGCACAAGTGCCGGCGATGAAAGCTAGACTTTCACGACAACCTCAAGGAATTTACCCGCGCAAGAACATCAAAGACAAAGAGAAGGTCATAGCCAAGGCCCAGCAGGCTCACAGGGAAGGTTGCATCAGCGAAACTTTGCTGCAAACTATAGTGAACCAGCATTGTTACCATAAGACGTTGGCCCTAGACTTCAATGGATCCTGATTCCAACTCATGCTGAGGATGCTGCTTGTGAATTCTTGGTCAGCTGGGTCAAAGGCACACTCAGACGGCATCCAAGACCTGCCCAGTACGAGTTCTTGAACCACAGGCTGCTTAGTTGAACAAAGGATCGACAACCAGTGACCCGGACACAGCCCACTTCACCCTTAGAAGCCTTAGGCTGATATTGTCCCTAAACCCTAAACCCTAAACCCTACACTCTTTGTCTCTCAGGTTCGTTGATGATGATGGCGGCCCTCCTGTTCCTGCAAGAGAGATGCCAGCCGAAGTTCGACCGATACGAGTGCGAGCAGAATCGGGAGCACAACTGCCAGCGGACAATGAGGATGATGAGGATGCAGAGGATGAATGATTAGTTTTGTGCTCCTGAAGCAGGCAAAGCAGGCAAAGTCAACAAGTAAGCTTTAGTCAAATTGTTGACCTTCTGTGTTATAGGCAACCCCTGGTAAAAGTAAGCTTTATGGCCATTTGCTTGCTTCTTAACCGTTTTTCCTCCACCAAAGCTTACTTGCACATAGCGGCCCTTGGCGGTACTGCGCCTCCTCGCGGCATTGCACCTCCTCCTCGCAGTCCAACAAAGCCTGCAGTTGTTCGTTAGGGACAAAGCTTGTGGATGGTTGGGAGGGCTTTCTGGGTATCGAGGCTGGAAAGACCAGCAGAGCCACTTGCTTTTGGAAAGCAATGAAGGAGGGCCGTTTTAGGGCTTTGGACTTTTAGTTCCACACCGTTTACAAGAGCATTCTTGTTTGGCTGGAGATTAGTGATTCTGTTTGGAACGGTTTGGGGGGATGATGCTTTCTAGTTCCAGGAATTCTGACAGGTGATTTGCAAGATAGTATAATTGCAAACCAGTTCCTACTCACCTGTCTTCTCCACACAGAAACAAACGGCTTGCGCCGAAAGGTGCAGCCTGAAAGGCAAGGTTCCTTAGAACTGCAAACAGTTCCTATTCAAGTATGTCCCCATACAGAAACACTGAAAGGTGCAGCCTCCGAACCCTCCGAATAAATTGCAGGCTTTGAGCCGAGGGGCGCAGCCTGAGAAGTCCAAACTCCGAACAAAGTCCAAACCCCAAACCTGAACAAATTTACACATGTCCCAAGATCTCGGAAAAAGTTCCCAAGATTATGGAATTGGTTCCTGAGGGACGACATAAATGCCCAAAAAAACAAACCACAAAGTACACTAACTCAGGCAATCTTATCATCAGGTTTCCAGAATGGGAAACTTTTTCACCTCTCCGGCGGCGCTGCAGCCTCCTCCTTTGCTTTGTACGGGCCAATCCATTCCCCGAGCTGCATTTGGCTCGGGGCCTTTGTCTGGACAAGCAGGGCGACGACCTTGTAACATCCTGGTTTCAGGATCAACCTTAGTTGCCCAATACCCTGGCCCAAAAAAGTTTAAACTTTTCTTTTAGTAGGGGCTTTGTATATCCAAAAGTTTAAAGTTCACCTCCTGGGCTCCTAAGCAACTGATCTGACTTCTTGTTTGGCCTGGAGTTCGCGACGACATACTGGATCTCGACCACTGTCCTCAGGGCATAGGGACACCACTTGACCTCAGGTCCGACATCCAAGAACATGAACGAGTAGAACGGAGCGTAGTTCAGGGCCTTTGACGCTCGGTTCATGTGGTGGGCGTACAAGCCCTCAAACTCACCATCATCTCCAGAAAAATAACGCGAGCCTGATCTTTCAGCAGTGGAGGGCTGCAGACCTTCCAGCAGGATCCTGCGGAGGCAATACGGGTGTGTGCCGTGGAAGGCCACACCGGTCTCGTCGGTGTTGGCTCCAGGCAGCGGCTGCCCTTGTGGCGGAAGCGTCACCCGCAAAAAGCCTAGAAGGTGGGTCGACGGGCCCATCAACTCCTCATCCAGTCTGAGGAGCCCAGGCCGGCTTGCCAAGAAGGATGCCAAAACACGTTCCGGCTCCGGGCAGTACGACCACTTTTGCCAGCGCTGCGCCAGCTTGGCATTGACAAACCGGCCTTCGTGGTCATTCCAAGTTTCAGGAGTGCCATTTGCAGCTCGCACCGGCCTCGGATACAGCTGCGTGTGGAACCGGTCGTAGGCCCACCCACTATCGATCACCTCCAACAGGTCGGCTTTGATCTGCTCCGCAATCTCGTGTTCCACCCACATTGGCATGTCGTCGTCCGACATGGGCTCTTCTTTGACTTTTTCCAGTGAGGGCTCTTCTTTGACTTTTGCCAGTGAGGAGACCGCCTTTGCACACAGCTTCTGACTCGCTTAATTTTAACCGCCTTCAAAAAAATAGAAACAGTTACAGGAGAGGGCACAGGGGCAGTTACAACAGAGTACCCTTCTTCACTGCCTTGGACTCCTGCTGCAAAGTTCCAGCCGGGCGTACAGTAGTCGGCTGCCCCTCTCCAGCTGTTGACTCATCCTTGGATGTGAAGAGGTTTCTGGGGTTTAGGGTTCAAGTCTTCCAGGTTTTAAGTTTTAAGATGTATATAATAGGGAAATGAACATGAAGTGCTTCCCAAGCCACATGAGACACGGTCTTCTCTGCCTGGAACAAATAAATGACTGGTGTTGGTATGAGTGCTCCCCTCAACACTGAACCCTAAACCCCAAACCCGGTCTTTACTCCATGTCCGCCTCTGCAGTGCTGGCAGGCTCTTGAGCACTTCGAAGATCCGCCTCACTCTGCGAGGCCCCTTTCTCCAGCTCGGAGATTTTCTCCTGTCAGGGCTCTCAGACTCTAAGCCACCTCTAGACCCTAAACCCTAAACCCTGAACCCTAGGCTGTGCACATCCACAGTCCTGCCTTGTACTTGGCCACCTCCAAAAGAGCCTTTTCCATTCTCTCCTTGTACACATCTGCTCTGGCCGCATCCACGATCCAATTTCCCATTTGATCCTTGAGCAGATCTGCTTGCCTCGTTTCATTTTCCTGGCCAGGGTTTAGGGTTCAGGGTTCAGGGTTTAGGGCTAATGAGAAGACTGTGCATGGAAGACTTTGCATGGGGCTTGCGGGCCTTAAGAGTGGGGCCAAGGGTTTAGGGTTTACTTTGCATTGAATTGGCCTTGCCGGCCTGACAAATTTGAAGCTCAGAGATGAGCTCCTCTGCCTCCTTCAGTTTCTGGTCTTTCTCCTGACATCAGTTGGATTCGGGTTTTCTGAAGATTGCATCCAATTTATGCTTCCGATTAGTTACTTGGAGTATGGAACCGTACCTGGCCTGGTTGTCCTTCAGGAGCCTGTCGCGCTCCTCCTCGACCAGCCTGTTGCTTTCGACGCACTTCGCCCACCGATGCTCCAGGTCTTCAAGTTGCACCTGTTAGGGTCAAGCAGAGGCAACAACAAGGGACAGGGTTTCATGTACGGTTTCAGGTTTAGGACAGGAGTTGCACCCCAAACCCTGAACCCAAAACCCAAAACCCTAAACCCTAAACCTAAACCCTAAACCTGCCCGGCCTGCTGATCCGAGCACTGCTTTTGCAGTGTGTCTCTTTGCTCGGTGGTTGCGTCCAGCTGGGTTTGCAGCTTGTCCCCCTGGGCCTGCAGATCCGAGCACTGCTTCTGCAGTGTGTCTCTCTCCTCGGCAGTTGCATCCAGCTGGGTTTGCAGCGCATCCCTTTGCTGGGTGACTTCAGCCAGCTGGTCTTGCAGCGAAAGTGTTTCCTCCTGGGTGGCAGTCAGCTTTTTGCTGACGGCCCACCGCAAGTCCCTTCTTTCCTCGTTGGATGGAGTCTCCTTTTTTCGCTTGTTCTCCCTTTGCCTGCGGGTGAGCTGAGGCTCATTGTGGGATGAAGCCGGCTCTGTCGACTCTTGACTCCAACCTTGTCTGCAATCTTGATTCCAGTGTTGGTTCCAGTGTTGACTCCAACCTGGATTCCATGGGCCCGACATTGCGAGCTAGTGGCTGTAGTGGTTGGCTGGGGGGGGGGCTATGTTAAGAACAGCCTATGTAATTATTAGCTTCCTGCAACAGTATGCTCATCACGGTTGCAGTCTTGCCTGAGGTGAGGTGGCACAGGGCTTTGCTGCAAGACTACACTGACTACACCTAAGCCTTAAATCCTATGGAATGCACAAACTGGTTTCTACACTGCACCCTGGGTTTGCAATTTCTTGTACGATCGCCCCTGCGCCTTTCGGCACTGTGGCGGCCTACTCCTTGTGGCTGCTGAACATACTGCACCGAACCGTACAACTTAAACTCTAGAGCGTGAACGCAAACCATGAACTAGGCACGACTACATAAAGCTGGGGCCAAGTGTGCTGCTCGCAGAAGTGTAGGGTACGGACTGAGACTCGTTTGGGTACCCCCAACACTAAACCCCAAACCCACAACCCTCCAAACAAACTGCAGGCTTTGCGCCTCGCGGCGCAGCCTCAGAAGCCCAAACCCCAAACCCACTAAACCCGATACCCAGGAAACCAGGCATTGCGCCTCGCGGCGCAGCCTGAGAAGGCCAAACCCCAAACCCACAAAACCCGATACCCACGAAACTCGAAACAAACAACTGCAGGCTTCGATACCCAAACCGATACCCAAACCCCAAACCCACAAAACCCGATACCCACGAAACCCGAAACAAATCGATGCCCAGGCTTGGATACCCAAACCGATGCCCGAGCCCAAGCCCTAAACCTTTAGGAAGGTTCAAAGTGTTAAGGCTCTAGGAAGGTTGATTAGGAGAGTTGAATAAGAGTTAAACCTAACTCCTAAACCCTAAACCCTGGACTTGCAAAGCCTGCTAGGCCCTGGACATGATGATGGTGCGCTGGTATGCCTGGAAACAGTGGAGCACTGGCACATTTGGAGGTCCGAGACAGGGGGTAGAGGGTGGCTTGAAGGAGTGCTTAGTGACTAAGGCTTAGTGCTGAAGTTAAAGGAGTGCTTTGTGCTGAAATATGCACCTACTACTCGACATGGATGCACTAAAGGGGCTGCTTCTGGAAAGAAATGAAGGCGGGCCGTCTTAGGGCTTTGGACTTTTAGTTCCACACAGTTTACAAGAGCATTCTTGTTACACTGGATATTAGACATTGTGTTTTCTTCAGCAATTTTGGCCCCACTGCAGTCCTTGTTTGTCTGACTGTCCCAACTTGCCAATGGCCGTGGCCGGAAATGCTCAGCAGCCTCTGGTGGAACTTAACGAGCTGCCATCAGCAAGAGAGGAGCTGCACCAGTTGCTGGTTCAGCTTTACACAACGCTGTTTGAGGAGCAAAGTTTCCTGGAGTTGCTCATGGAGAGGTACCGAGCCAGCTGGACACTGGGAACGCCGATCAAGCATTGGCACCATCGGTGGATGGAATTCCACCGTGAGAACCCTGAGGCTGGAAACCGTTTCTCTCCAGGAAACTGGTTCTGGTACTTCGGCATGGTGGTCCTCCTTCCACGTGAGATGTATGGTCGTAGCGACGACAAGAATGCGGGCGATTTTACAGAAGGATTCCTGATGTTCGTCTACGATGCAGGATCCGAGTGTCGTCGCAGCCGAAAGGTTTTCTACCATTTGCGCCGCTGGGTGTTGGCTTTGAAGAAGTTCCTTGAGCTGTCTATGCCAATGGCCCAGGACATGTTCGCCTGCCAGCCGACATGGACTTGGGAGCATGTCACTGTCTTTAATGATATGCTTGCTGCCCGGGGCGTGTGAGTGCGAGGGTTGCAGTTTATTCCTGAATCAAACCACTGTGGCAGATTTCCTCAAACCTTAAGCTCTTACCCCGGAATCGATACTGCAAGCCTCGACTTGCTTTGAATACCATGAGTTTCATGGCTGAAATTTGTGTACTGATGCACACACAAAGATTCAGAAGTCCAACTCGCTTGCGAGGGAAAAAAAAGGGGCAGAGTCTGCTTGCTTGCAAGGTTCTTTCGACAGAACATGTACTGTACTGGTGGTTGAGGTTTAGGGTCTAGGGTTTGGAGGCTATTTGTTTGCTTGTTGGCGGAGCCCTCCCCGCTACACTCTCCCCCTTTACCTGCAACCTGCAAGCACTCACAAAGCGCAACCGGTTGCGCTATGTATATTCCTGAGCACACAGCCGTAAGTGTCTTCCAGGTGCTTGCAACCTGCTAGCACTCACAAAGCGCAACCGGTTGCGCTATGTATATTCCTGCAAGCACACAGCCGTAAGTGTCTTCCAGGTGCTTGCAACCTGCAAGCACTCCCAAAGCGCAACCGGTTGCGCTATGTATATTCCTGCAAGCACACAGCCGCAGCACTCTCCCCCTTTACCTTCTCCCGTAGTACCTGACCTCTCCTGTACCTCTCCCAAAGCACAAAACCCAAAAACACTTCGATGCAACACAAGCACACACACACAAGGGCAGCTGCACAGATGATGTGACTGTGAAGTGTAAACTCAGTCGACAGCTGGGCTTCAGCAGATGGTTTTGTTATTGTGGGACTTCGTTGTGGAAGCTGTGACCCTGGCAACAGGCCTCGAAGGCGAACCATCGGCCCAGGCAACCGACCTCAGCTTTTTGTGACACACCAGGGCTTCGGTCTTTGGATTCTCTGCAGACTTCTAGAACAGCGAATCTTCTTTTGCCAGGGTGTTGCAATTGTCAGCTGTGCAGTCGGTCAAAGGAGCTTGAAACGGATCCGGAGCCCTTGACCTTCAGGTGGCTCCACCAAGTGGGGAGCTCATCCACGAACTGGTTCCACTTGGAGCGGATGTGCTCTGCAGTCACCTAAGTTTAGACTTGGATTAAGTGCCTGACTGGACTTGCACAACACATGAAAACCATCAAACGAAAAATCCAAAACATGTCCGGGGCTCCGCCTCACCCTGCTCCACCTCACCCTGCTCCACGTCACCCTGCTCCACGTCACCCTGCTTGACCTCACCCTGCTCCACCTCACCCTGAAGCTCCACCTCACCCTGAAGCTCCACCTCACCCTGCTCCTGCTCAGCCGGCTGCTTTGAGGTCCGCTGCGCATCCAGCCGTGCAGGTGGCTCCGTCGGCTGTGCTTTCGTCTGCAGAGCAGTCTGAAGCATCTGAGCCGGCTGCTGCTCTGAGGTCCGCTGCGCATCCAGCCAAGGTGCAGGTGGCTCCGTCGGCTTTGCTTTTGACTTCAGAGCAGACCGCGGGTCCATGGCAGCTCGTGTTTCGGTGACCTAGTGTGTCAGTTTTTTTGGCTGCACCTGTACATAGAAGCCCTTCAGTGGAATTCCTCTCCTTTAAGATTTCTCTATTGCACCTATACTGCTTGTGTTTCGGTGACCCACTGTATGAGCCCTGCACTCGAGCCTCAACGGTTTCAGAGGGTCACTGGCAGAGTGGCACTTGTGCGCTGACAACAAACATCAAGATCAGAGTCAGCCAGCTCACAGTCAGAAAGCAAAGCTTCTTTGCTATCACTTGTGCTTGCGAGCATTTGGTGAAACAGTGAAGGTCGCACTGCCTTCCAAACATGATCGACGCAACGATGGGCCGACTCACAAAGCTCTGGAGCACAAGAACTCCAAGAAGATCACTGGTAAGTATTCCAAGACCGCACAAGTAGCCACAATCATCCCACATCATCCTGGTGTTCCTGGGAGATCAACGGCGCTTCAGTGGGTTTAGAGGTTTAGCAAAGTAAGGGTATGGAGTCCGAGTGCATCCCAAGCCACTCAATCTGAATCCTCGGGCTCCTTGTCGGGTGTTACAACCGTGGTGGGCGATTGCGACTCTGCAGCAGACGAGGCGGCAGCTTGCAAGGCGGCAGCTTGTAACTCTTCCAGTCTCATCGCGAAGATGGCTTCTTTTGCCTGGAACAACTCAACATTTACCCCCAACCCTAAACCCTAAAGACAAACATGCACCCCTCAACCCCAAACCCGGTTTGGTCGGCCTTTGTGATTTCGTCTGCCTTCTGGATCCGGAGGTCAACCTCTAGCTTTGCGACTTCGTCTTTCTTCTGGCTCCGGAGTTCAAGGATACGTTCCTTGTGAGCTTTCAGCAGCGCTTGCTGGAACGACTTTAGCTCCTTGAGGGATGCTTTAAGACTGCAAGTTGCAAGTGTTTGCATGTTTTTGCTTCCCGACCTGGCCTCGTTCTCTTTCAAGAGAAGGTCTCTCTCCTGCAGGAAAGCTAGGTTGACCTGGAGGGCGAAGCCATGCTGCTGCTCGAGGTCATGCTGCTGCTGCTGCAGGTTGGCAACAGCTTGAGGGATGTTTTAAGATTGCAAATTGCAAGAGTTTGCATGTTTTTGCTTCCCGACCTGGCCTTGCTCTCTTTCAAGAGAAGGTCATGCTGCTGCTCGAGGTCATCCTTCTGCTGCTGCAGGTTGTCAACCTTCTCCTCTGGGCAACAGCTTGAGGGATGTTTTAAGATTGCAAATTGCAAGTGTTTGCATGTTTTTGCTTCCCGACCTGGCCTTGTTCTCTTTCAAGAGAAGGTCTCTCTCCTGCACCAGAGCTAGATTGGCCTCGAGACCGAGGTTATGCTCCTGCTGCAGCTTGTCAAACTTCTCCTCTGGGCAACAGCAGGGTCCGGGCAAGTAGGGTCAACAAAAAACAACTCCCATGAATGGACATGCCGGGCCTGCAGGTCTTTAAGCTTCTGCTTCAAGTCGTTGCACTGCAATCGCAAGTCTTTGCGCTCCCGGCCACTGGGAGTGTTCTTCTTTCTCAGGTTCTGCTCTTTTTTCCCCATTGAGCCAGTGGAATTCCTGTCCTTCAAGATTTCTCTATTGCGCCTGTACTGCTCATGTTTGGTGACCGAGTGCGTCAGTTTTTTTGGACGCACCTGTGCATAGAAGCCTTTCAGTGGAATTCCTGTCCTTTAAGATTTCTCTATCGCACCTATACTGCTCGTGTTTCGGTGACCGACTGTATGAGCCCTGCACTTGAGCCTCAACGGTTTCAGAGGGTCACATTCTGATTCGTTTCATGACTGCTGGCAGAGTGGCACTTGTGCGCTGACAACAAACCCCCCCCCACACACACACACAAACCGCAAGAACAGCTCTGAAATGCATTTCTGCACTACTGTCAGCTTAGTGCCGCACAGTGTTGTTGGTGTGGAGTTCTCGAAGTGAAGCAACATGCCTTACAGCGACAAACAGGACAAAGCAAAAAGTCAACATTCACATGGCTTCACCACAGGATCAACAGTGTCTGCTCATGCCCAGAAGAACTTACCAGTATCCACCTGTTCAAGCAAACCACTAGGAAAACCCTTGCCGAGGGCAGGACTGCTGAAGAAGAACAAATCTGGGTCGTCGCAACTTGCCCAGAATGCAAGGAGAGGGGGGGTGGGGGGGGGCTGGGGTTGACAGTTTACAGTTTGGTTTGACAGCATGATCGCCCCTGTGCCCCCCTTGAGCCTGGAATGACAAATTGGGTCTTGCTCTGCTCAGGCAGCGCCTTTCGATTTTGAGCTGCACCCCTGCTCCTTGGGTTAGGGTCCAGGGTTTGTTGTTTAGGGTTTTGGGTTTCGGATTCAAGGCTGCGCCTTTCGGCACAAACCTTTTGGAGGCAGCGCCTTTCAGCACAGTGCCGACTTGCTCCTTGGGTTAGGGTTCAGGGTTTGTTGTTTAGGTGTTTAGGGTTTTGGCTTCGGATCTAAGGGTTGGCAGCAAACCCTAAACACCAACTAAACCCGAAACCCTGCAAAAACCTGAGGGCCCAATTGCTCTTCCTGAAGGAGCGTTGATGCTGCGACTGAGGCTCTGACATCCTTGGTGGCAAGATTTTTATGCCGCCCTGCCCCCCCCCCCCCTTTCTGCTCCATCTCACAAACCCTCCCGACCCATCCCTGCTGGATTACTGAGGCTTTGAAGGCACAACTATATAAGCACTGTGCTGGAACATTGAGCTGTGCAGCTTAGAGTCAATTTTTTTGGGGCCGTTTTGACAATGTTTTTTATTTAAGTTTTAAAAAGCATTTTTTTGAGAGCCCATGTTTTAGAACCATTTTTTCAGCCATTTTTTCAACTCATCAAGCAGTCATCCTGACATAATGCATGCTATATACAGGTTTTTTTGGCTTATTTTACATGCATGTGTTTGGTTGTGAAACCTCTGATTGGTTTTGAAACCTCTGAATGACACGATCATGGCTTCGGCGCTTCTTGCACTACAACAAGTATGCAACTTGGAATGGGGACACTATGGGACCCAACTTCGGCCTCTACCATCGTGGGGACCTCCAGGCCTTCTCCTGGGAGGCTGGCAAGACGGGCTATGGGCACCGCCGCAACAAATGCGACATCGGCTACACCTACATCACCCGGCTCGGCCAGACCACCGAGAACATCGCGCGGCAGGATTTCTGCGGCAGTTTCGACAACTTCGGCATCGAGGAGATGGAGGTCTTCTACCAGGCCTGAGCCAGCTGTGATGCCTTCGCAGCGAAGCGAATCCTGGTAGATCTAGGCAGCGATCGGGGCTCTGAGGGGGGTCTCAGGACAGGAAAGACCCTTTCGGAAGCGCCTTTAGTTTTGTGATCGAAGAACACAAAAAACTTCTTGGAGGCCTGGCTGCTCCATTCCGAAAGGGTTTTCACTTCTTGGGCGCCCCCAGCTTTTCAAGCTGTCCTAGCCGTTTGATGATTGGGCGCGAAGAAATCAGAAAAGTAATGGCTGTGGCGTGGCTTCGTTTGATTTACGTGAGAGCCATCTTACTTGCCAACCCTATCTTAATGATCCAGATTTAGCTCATGATGTCAGAGCCCTTTTGACCATCACAATCCGTTTCCCACACGCTCAATCTCTTCATTTGATGATTCTCATTCGGGGCGCCGACGGATCGTTTCGTTGCTAGGTCGTGTGGGCGTGTTCGCAGTTGTCATGATTAGATATTTCAATTCTTGCTCTGTGTGTCGTCTAGGAGATTTATCATGCGAATCGATATGGATTAATTCTACAAACCTGGGTCGCATCACGCAGAGTTAACTCTGAAGCAGAAGAACTTCATTCTTTTGTTGCGTTCGGTTGCAACAAACTCCCCATCTCGACCTGAGGCAACCCTTGATTGTTTATTTGCAGCAAGAGAAGCTCCCTCTGACAATCTACTACAGTAGTACCTGGCCGGATTCTCAACGCTGCGGTAGACGAACAGACCATGCAAGCACCAAATGAATGAATCCACCCACTTGCTTGGCTCAGACAAAGGCCCCAACATGATCCAGTTTCCAGACTGTACACCATCGATATGTGAGGTTGGCAGCAAGATCAGGGAATGTTGTAATTAAAACCATTGGATGCAACGCGTAAGGCCCGGATATAGCCAGAGATTTCTCAGGCAGGGTGATAAACAGGCCCTTGCATTCAGCATGACACTGGTTCGTAGATGCACTTCGCGATAATCTGCTCACTGAGTGCTTGAGATGGATTCCGCTGGCTTCCGGGGGTGCCACGACTCACCAGATCCATGGCATCATAGCGTCTCAGACGTACGCAACGCGCAGTTCTTGACAAAAAGTGCGTGTGCGTCGCAAGCAGAACTGCTTGACCCATGTTCCAACCATCAGACAAGATCATGCCCATGGGCATCATGGTATCGTCCAATCACGAGCTTGGCCGCTACAGCACTTGGAGGTTCATGGTACTTAGTAACCAATTATAACTGTACTTCTAACCCGCTTACAAGGCCCTTAAGTGACCTAATATGGTTGTACGTACACTTAGAAGTACAGTTAGCATTGGTTAACAAGTACCATGAACCTCCAAGTAGGACTGTCGTGTTGAGTTGCTCTGCTGTTGGCCCGAGTCTGAAGTTTAGCCGGAGTTGCTGCCTTCAAGTCCGCGACGCGCTCGGTTTAGCAGAAAGAAAAACTAGACAGGCTTAAGGTTCTGAGATACTTGTCATGTCTGAAGGTGTATCAGTGACAATCAAATGCTCCAAGGGGCCCAGTCGGCCCCAATGACTTGAGGGATGTAATGTGCATTTCACGCCGCTCGTGCTCGTACAATTTGTTGATGGTACTGCAACTGACCTGCGCTGCTGTCTTTGGCTAGTCGATGTGTCTGTGGCGTGTCTGTGCCTTCGCTTGTGCGTGCCGTCCGTGCGTGCATGCGTGCGTGGGTGTGTGCCGGTGCTTGTTTGGGTGCGTGGGTGCCTGTGTGTGTATACATATATAAATTTAAATAAATAAATAAATATATATATATATATCTGCGTTGCCATGCAAAAGGATAACAGGAGACGGGCTGGGCACTTCGATCACTCACTCCCCACGAAAGCAGCGATGAGAAGTTGTGATATCCGAAGGATGCAGAAGGCTAAACATCCTGAGCTCCCGGTTCTTTCTGTGGCGAGTGCTATGTAACATCTTACGCGGAAACAGTGCATGATCTACAGCCATCCATACGAACGTATCCGCCATGCCTCCAGATGTTCTACGTCAGCCGCCAATTACAAGAGAACACATACCCCCTCCCTGATAGAGCAACTCTCCAAAAGCTGCGCGCTGGTGCGTGGGTGTGGGTGTGGGTGTGGGTGTGGGTGTGGGTGTGGGTGTGGGTGTGGGTGTGGGTGTGGGTGTGGGTGTGGGTGTGGGTGTGGGTGTGGGTGTGGGTGTGGGTGTGGGTGTGGGTGTGGGTGTGGGTGTGGGTGGGTGTGGGTGTGTGTGTGTGTGTGTGTGCGCGTGCCCGCCCGCGCGTTTGTGAGCGCTTGCTTGTTTGTTTCTTTCCGGCCAAGGTGAGCACGGACATCAAGTTGATGGCCTCTGCAGGTATGGACAGGCCAGCCCTCCCGGGCAACAAGCCCCTGAAAGAGGCGGATCCCACCATGCGACTCTGCTGGGCAGCAAGTTTTCATTTGGTTCTGGCTTGGATTAGCAGTAGTCATGTTTAGTGACTCGGGCTTCCATCCCTACAGCACCATCAACATCATTGCCGATGAGGGTTTCTTGCAGACAATGCAGATGTTGCATTAAGCGAGGCTTTTGCTGCGTAGAGAGAGGCTTAGAGTGGTTGCTAACTGATATTCATAGTTGCAGTGCCAGTATCTCTGCAATTCTGAGTTTGGGACTGTCACCGTCGAGTTGTGTCAGAGCATGCAGCTTCAGGTACGACCTTGTCCAGCAGGAGAAGGCCAGGCAGACTCGCTCCTCGTCCAATTTTAGCTAGGGCATTCAGCTCACGAAATCAACTACATCTTTTTTTTTGAGAGGTCGTCTCTGGACAGGACTTCTTTTACAAACGTCAGCGAAAGGGCAGCCTGCTGAGAGAAAAAACGCTACGTCGAGAGCCGGCTGTAGACAAGACTTCCCATTCGCCGTACACCCTTCGGTTCAACTTCACTTCTTAGGCATTCTAGGTTGGAACTGCTTCTGGGATGCTGCTACAGTCACAGCGCACAACGGGCTGCAAGAAGCCGTACACTCATAGTGACTTATAGCATCGACCATGAGTTTTACCCTGTGCGACTGGTGCCTAAGTGCCCTGCGTGTTTTTTGAATGTTTTAAACTAACGACTCGTGTTTTTCCATGCTTTGTTTATGACGTAATTAAACTGCAGAGGCTGCATCGAGCTCATCGCCTCGGAGAACTTCACCTCCCGAGCTGTTATGGAATGCTTGGGCTCGGCCCTCACGAACAAGCCGGGCGCCCAAGTCTGCCGATTCCTTGCTGCTTGTAAGGCAGGTGTTGGGATGTTCCCCCTTTGTACTAACAGTCCCTAATAAGGGATTATAAGTAGGGGGTTACTCGAATCCCTATTAAGGACTGTTGGTATCAGGGGGAACATCCCAAGTTGCCTCCCTCATTCTCCACAAGGCCAGTGGAAGGTGTGAATTTCTTGCTTGGTGATGGCAGTAAGGTATTCTGAGGGCCAACCTGGGGCCCGTTACTACGGCGGCAACGAGGCACTACGCTGGGCAGATTCTCATTGAGGAACGCAGGAGAAGGGTTCTGAATTGTGTGGCAGGGCGGTCTGCGCGAGTAGTCGTGAAGAAGCTGCGCATGGGGCTGCTACAGCATATACATCTGAATCTCTAGATGTATATGTACTATCATCAACTTTGCCACTGAAACATGCCATCAATATGTGCTTTGCCAGATGGCAGTGTGCAGTTTCTGTTTAGATCTTAATATGCAGAAGGCATGCACCAAGGTTCCATTGGCACCATGGCAGATGGCTTCTGTCCCCATGGCAGGTCATCGACAAGGTGGAGAACCTTTGCAAGGATCGTGCCTTGAAGGCCTTTGGCTTGGATGAGAAGGCCTGGGGCGTGACCTGTCCGCAAGCTGGCCTTCTCCTCTCTCAAAGAGCGACGGACACTCTGAAGACTCCCTGGCCTGGGGCTTATTCGGGCGTGCGCCTGTGGCAAGCGCATCCTGAGGTCAATGTCCAGCCGTATTCCGGGAGCCCGGCCAACTTTGCAGTGTACACGGCCCTGCTGCCGCCCCATGCCAGGCCATGTCAGGGGAGGGATCTCCGACAGCTTGTAAGGTGGGGCACCCTACCTCCTCCGTGTGTGGGCACCCTACTTGGAGCGTCTCACATTGGCAGCCTGCTCTCTGGGCAGGGTCATGGGACTCGACTTGCCCTCCGGCGGGCACCTGACCCATGGCTACTACACCGCCAAGTGGCTCGGCGTAGTACTTTAAGCGAGTTTTCGTTAACCTGAAGCCCCTAAGACTACAGGACTTATTCCCCAGCCGCAAGCCCCCAACTACAAGCACTAAAACCCAAGAAACTCACTTTGTGGCCGTCGCAAATCAACTTCATGACACGCCCGACAAGCCATGTTACAGGTCACGCCACAGGGATTCGGCTCCTCCTAGAACTCCGAGACTTCAGTTTTGGGGGCACCTTCACCTGAAAGCCACCCAGAATAGGCAGGAATCCTTGGAGGGGCTCCTATATTTTTGGGGGGGCACTGATTTCAATTCCAGTGTCTCCTTCAGGAAGAAGATCTCGGCCACCTCCATCTACTTCGAGTCGCTGCCCTACCGCGTGCACCCGGAGCGCCGCACGAGGTAGACCGAGACTTCCATCCTCATCTACAGGGGTTTAGGTTTAGGGTTTAGGGTTTAGGGTTTAGGGTTTAGGGTTTAGGGTTTAGGGTTTAGGGTTTAGGGTTTAGGGTTTAGGGTGATTCCCAGTGTACAGGAAATCCAAACCGACCGCATTCGTGCCTGCAGGAGACGGGGTTGATCGACTTTGACGAGTTGCGCAAGACGGCGCTCGTCTTTCGCCCGGCCATGTGTCCCGGCTGTCAGCTTCATGGACTCATCATGCCTTGGGGATACTTGAAAATAAGTTCTCATTTTTGGCTACCATAACTCCTAAGAAACAGCTAAGATTGTAATTTGCTAGGGTTCCCCAAGTTCAGTATAGATGCCTCATCTGTGCTGGTCCAGTCTTTTCCTCTAGGGTGCCACGGCTGCGAAAATCCTGACACAAATCAGCCCTTCGATCTCATACGCCTGCACGGAACAGAAACAATCAGGGCACATCCCAAATCCGTGGAGCATGGTCCAGGCAGTAGATCACAGGCTTGATGGGATCGCCGCAGGAATGAAACGACCCCCCCCCCCCCCCCCCCCGCAAAAACCATGTAGTAGACAAGCTGTCTAATATGCCTTGCCTATCTACAGGATCCTGTGCGGGGCTTCCGCCTATCCTCGCGTCATTGACTTCGGCAAGTTCAGAGAAATTGCGGACGAGGCGCGGAGGATGCGGCCCACGCGGGTTTGGGGGGTTTTCGGCTTAGACTTACAGATGAAGCAAGACCTGCACCCCGCCATCTCACCTTCGCATGCACTCTAGCAAAGTCTACGAATCCTGTGTTGAGTTTGGCCGTCTCGGGTACACTTTCTACATCCAGTAAATCTGCTGTCAGGTGGGCGCGATTCTGATGGCTGACATTGCTCACATCTCGGGCCTCGTTGCAACAGGCGCGTTACTGTGCCAAGTCGGATCTTGCAATGGCTGCATGAGTCAGGGAGCAGCACGGTCTCTTGTTTTTTGCACACCGGCGCGCTTGCCGAACGCTCGCTATGTGCGTCACGTCTGCTCATGTCTGCTCTGTCTACTGAACTGATGTCTGTTGTCTGTTCTTAAGTCAGGAGAGCACCCGTCTCCCTTCGAGCACTGCGACGTTGTGACAACCACCACGCACAAGCCCCTCATTGGCAAACGATTGTGTGCGTCGCAGCTGGAGATGTAGTCGCTGGTTGCAATTCGCCCACTGAACAATTCTAAGCAGAGCCGATTGCATTAAGTTAAGTAGGATCGCCATCTAAGGTCCCTTCGCGGGCCGCGAGCCGGCATGATCTTCTTCAAGTACACGGACAAGATTCCGGACATCAAGGAGCCCAGCTGTCCCACGCCTTTAGCCATCTCCAGTCCTCCTTCAACTGGGTTGTTGACGTGGCTGTTCCGGTGCAATTCCATCGGTTTTAGGAGCCGCTTTCCCAACTCAGCTCAGAGCTAACTCTGTGTTTGCCATCCTACATGCCCAGAGACATCGGCTCCCAGAGGAGCGCATCGACATGGCGGTCTTCCCAGCTCTGCAGGGCGGGCCCCACAACCACCAGTGCCCCGGCAGGTCAGATCAGCAGGGATTTGCCACCGCGCTGCTCTGGTGCAGACGTGCAGACCTCTGAGAGAATCATAGATCAGAGCAGGACCCCTGACGTCTGTTTCTTACATATTCTTATTCATTTATTTGGTTTTGTCTTTTTGAGGGGGAGGGGGGGAGGGGAGGGGCCCCAGGGCTTGAGCCCAGGATCGGCGGGCTGGCTGCCCAGCTCCTGGAGGCGGAAGCAAAGCAATCGATGCTGGGGTTCATGTGTTTTCTTCAGTGTTTGTGTTTAAGTCCAGTATATATATATATGTATAATTTACTTCGTTATTTATTCATTTTCAGATTTATATTTATATGCATGTTCAGATTTATATTTACATTTATATCTATATTTATTTTTATATGTATATTTATATTTGTATATTTATATGTACTTACTTATTTGTATTTACATTATATACATACGGATTCAGGGCTGTCTTGAGTGTAAAACCGCGCCTCAACACCAAACAACTCGACCGCGTGCAAGGAGTATAATGAGCATGAGCCATCCCCGAGCCGCAAAGCCCGGACCTGGCGTCATATGGGGGTTTACGAAAAAAGTGGACCCTTTAATAGAGTCCCCCAAATAGTAGCCTTCCCTTGTGAAAAGGCCACTAATTTCGGAAACCCCCCAGTATGAGCATGGCAGGTTGACAGCCCCATGTTCAAGGAGTACGCCAAGCAGGTCAAGGCAAATGCCAAGGCTCTGGCCGAAACCTTGATGAGCAAGGGGTGCCGTGTTGGCAAGGATGTTGTTGTGGAGCGGAGCTTAAGGGGTATGAGGAATAGTCCCTATATACCTCGGTATAAGTAGCCCCTAAATAACCCCCAAGGTCCCTTCTAAGGATCCCTCCTGTAGTCCCTTGAGGAGCGTGAACATGCGGTGGCGCGTTCTCAACTGAGATCCTGCAACGGTAGTAGACATTGAGCGGCAAATGGCCGGTCAAGTTGCCCTGTTGGCCCAGATCTTCGGGCGAGGAAATGAGCAGGCGGCGGCATGTTTTTGGTCCCCTCAAAGGTTCCTGTCTACAAGTGACTCTTTGGAACCACCCCACTTGATTCACGTATTCTGAAGCGCAAATTCAAGTCCAAGGCACAAACTCGCAAGCGATGGCACTGACAACCACCTGCTGCTCTGGGACCTGCACCTTGGTTAGTTGATGGGTTTGGGGTTTAGGGTTTAGGGTTTTGAGTTTGGGGGGCATTTTTGGAGGTTGGCTCTGCTATGAACAACAGTCCAACACTTCCAACCTCCACCATGTTCCTGCCACTGCATGTTGAAACTGCCGGCCACTACGTTTGGGGCTATGAATGCTGTCATCTTAAGTAAATGAGGGTCATTTCTAGCATACCGGAAGCCTTTCGCAAATCGGCCGCCACAAGAGACCCTGGGTTATAAGTTAGGGTGGGCGCACTTTCTGATTCTGATAGCTCTTGTTGGTGACAGGTACCCCTCCCCCGCCCTCCCCACAAGAAAGAGAAAACACACACACACACACACACACACCCGCGCGCGCGGGCACGCACGCACACACGCACGCACACCGGCACGCACACGCACACCCGCACGCGCTTGCGCGCGCGCGCCATAGAGCTCCGCACAAGCCTGGGTTCGGCAACTTTAAGTCTCTGGAACTTCCATGAATAGGTGACGGCGGCCGGTGACCGGATGAAGATTCTCAAAAGCTTCTTTTTAAAAAACAACATATACAGGCACACACACACACACACACCCACGCACGCACGCACGCAGGCACGCACGCACGCACACACACACACACACAAAGACACAGACACAGACACAGACACAGACACAGACACAGACACAGACACAGACACAGACACAGACACAGACACAGACACAGACACAGACACCGACACACACACACACACACACACACCCACCCACCCACCCACCCACCCACGCACGCACGCACGCACGCACGCACGCACACAAAAAGAAAAAGAAAAAAGAAAAAAAAAAAAAACGACCCTCACTTTGGCAAGGCGACCTCATGGGCTCACGGGCTCCAAGGTGGGCCGAAGCGTGTTGGAGCACTGGATGAAGCAGTAGTTACCAGTATATTCTCTAGGGTCCTTGAAGGAGGGGGGCGAAGAAGCTTACAAGTGTACTCTAGGGTCCGTAAGGGAGGGGGGTTAAGAACCTTATAAGTATACTTCGGAGGACAGCGTTAAATAGGAGAGTTGTCGGACTTGGGATTTTGGAGCAGACTCGTTGCAGGTGGAGAAAATCTGCGAGGCGGCATCAATCACCTTGACTCTGGGCGAGAATAGCTACTAAAACGACATTCAAGCGCCTGCAAAGTCCGCGCTCGTGGCGGACACAGTGCACCTCACGACACCTGAATGGAAGTCCTCAAGTTTGCTCAGGAACCGCAATGCAGTGCATGGAGACGCGTCTGCTCTCTCGCCGGGAGGACCCGGAAGAATTCGCAGTCAAACCCAAATTGTGGCTGACAATACTGCTTTGAACGTTTGCCTCGTGTTCAGTTAAGTTGCGGGGTAGTAGCTTAAAAACAACTGTTAGTCTGATACTGTTTTGATCCAGCATCGCTCGAGTCAGCTGATTAGATCAAAGTCGGTGTGTCCTGCTGTGTTGCACGCTGCAAAAAAAGTGGCAAGTGGCAGCAGCGGCAGTTCATCGGGTTTCGCTCGTGTGTTGACATGAAGTGCAGCAACAGGAGTTCGCGTGGGAGCCCCCGCGATGACCACCCGAGGCTGCACTGAACAGGACTTCAAGACCATCGGCGACCCGGCACACTTGCGCTCGGTTCGCTTCTGATCACCTTCCAGTGGAGTGATTTTTCTATGGTGGAGTTTAAGGATTTAGGGGCTTTAGAGGCTTTAGACGCTGTCGGTCTTAGGGGTTTTTGGTTGTAGGGTTAAGGCCTTAAGGCTTCGGGCGAGGAATGTGTGACGTGTAATTAGGGACTTGGCCCAATGACTGTGAGCCTTGGCAGCCTCATCACTCAGCCCCTCGACCCAGAACCCTTCACATGTGTATAAGCCCTATATAATCCTGAACCATAAACCTGCATAGTAATGTTAGTCTGTGTAGAGTACTTTAGTCTGTGTAGAGTACTTATTAACCAATTCTGTCTGTACCTATAACCAGATTAGGGCACTTGAGGGGGCTCATAAGTGGGTTATAAGTACACTTATAATTGGTTCCTAAGTACCATGAACCTCCCAGTGGAGCTGTTGTCTTGTCAGCTGTACTTCAGGTGGGTTCCTGGACCGGTGCTGCCAGCTGGCACTGAAGATCCAAGCCGAGAAGGGCAAGAAGTTGAAAGACTTCGAGGCCTCCCCCAGTAAAATGGTTTTGAGGGTTTTTTGAAGGGTTTCGAGGGTCTTGCGTAGAAAGTCAGGGTGTTCGGGAGCTGGGAGATTGCGGCTTCCCTCGGCTTCATCCAAGAGCTCTGCGACCCTTGTATACCTTGAGTCCACTGTGGAACCCACAGCAGCCCCAGCTGCTTGTCTTCATGGAGCCGATTGCACATGCAGCTTCCGCCTCAAGACAGGGGTTTGGGTCCGGCAGGCGGCCATTCCCGGCAACCCAGAGGTTGCGGCTCTGAGGAAGGAGGCGAGCTTCGGTTCTTGCTTGCGTTGGTTAGTGTTAGCTTGTCGAATTCTGGGCTTATGAAAGAGGGCGTGGCCGCCTGGCATGTTCAGCTAACTACGTGCGCAAGTTATGGGTTGATCTGGGCAGCGAGATACATAGGCAGTGATCTGCACGGTTTCGGTAACTTTCTCTCCGTCGGAGCACGCGCAGCCTGCCATTGGGAACATGAGAACTGCTTGTGACCCCCCCGTGTGCATTCTCCACGGCTTCTTGATTGACTCCTCAGGTGGAAGAGTGGGCCAGCAAGTTCGGATACCCAGGCCTGTAGGCCAATGGGCCTCAGCAAGCCGGGCGCACATGCAACAACATCGTTGTACTCATACAGGGCTCATGCTTCGAGTGTCGAGGTTAAAACGTTATCGGGGCTCTCAGTCACTCCCGGCCGGCGTGTGGCCGCCGGGAGGTGACCCGTTGTTGATCGTTGTTGCAGGAGCTTATGTGATTTTATTTTGTGATTTTGGTGCGCCGTGTGGCGCCTTCCAGCCCCGACGGCCCATGTCGGACAGCGAGATCTCTGATCCATCCTTGGCTTGATGCCCCTTCCTGCATGAACTTCCTGTACGACAGGATTTTCTCCTTAAGTTCATGTACTACTCCCATCCTGGGCCTTTCGGAGGGAGCTCATTCTGCTCCCTCCCTGCATTGCCGGAATCTGAGTGGGTTCAGGTACTACCTTAGATCTGAGGCATTCTGAAACAGGACGCTGACAGGTTTGACATGTTGTGGCTCGGGAAGAATGCTTCAAAGTACTGACCCTGCTGAATCTACATGATTGAGACGCCTTGCAGCGTGTGCGGAGCCCAGAGTGTTTTGGGCTCCCAGATCCTGCCAAAGCGCTCTACGCCAGTCTTGACCCACGCGAGAGTGAAAACCCATTGCCTTTGTGTGGTTTCGGGTCAGCAGGCAGAAGCAACGAGAGTCACTCAAGGTATTGCCCGTCTGGTTTTGATGAGATGCGAAGCATTCCGATCTGACTCACGTACCCGACTGCATAGCTTGCACAGTTCAGGGTCCAGTGAAGGCTTCATAGATGTGAGAATGCTCCCATGTTGCGAGGGCCGTTCCTGAACTAGCCAACATTCCCTCCGAATCTGAATCCTCTCCAATCATGAGCGCGGCAACGACTGGCGTCGACCTCCACGCGGTCGCCGCGCGGGCAACCATGCTGCTGCATTAGTTTAGGGGTTTTGTCTGCGCGTGAGTTCAACGGGCATCTCCCTGTGCTAGGTTCGGATGACGTGCCATGGGACCAGGGGGTTTTTTACGGTGCTGGGGTCAGGGTGGGAGCGCGAGTGGAGTTACGCAGCATGGGCTAATCCAACTCCGACATGGTCGGACCCCCCTTCTGTAGGGTGTTGGTCTTTGGGGGTCCTTGGTCCTTGGTCCTTGCGTCCTTGGATTTTTTGCAGGGTCCCCAGGGGGCGGAATGCCAGTCATCCTCGGCCACTCTGGCTCAAAGCTGTCGCGGGGGCCGTTGGGGGGGGCTGCGCATGGTGCGGTCTCCTTCTCCTCTGCCGTGAGTGGTGCTGCTGGTGGTGTGCCGGGTGCGCCAGTGAGGTTAGCCCACCCGTGTGGTCGGCGGTTGGGCTCTTTACGCTGTCGTCTGCGGGAGGGTTCTTGTTTACGGGGTCTTGACCCTAAGTTGCCTTCAGGCTGTGTACGGGGTGGGTGGATTGGGGGTCCCCTCGGGTGTTGGCGCGCATGGTGCGAGGTCCAGGGAGAGGGCGGTTTTGTCAGACAGATGACTCCTCTTTTCACCTTTCTCTGGGGGGGGGGTTGGTACGGGGCGGGAGGAAGGGTAGCGCTGTTTTGCGGGCCTCGGGCGGGATGGGAAGGTGTAGGGCTCCACGGGAGGCCTCTAGGGGGCTGGCACGTTTGCGGGTTAGTCGGGCGGTACGTCGGGGTAGACAGGCGGGAGGCTTCATGAGGAGGATGCGGGAGAAACATGCTCGACTTCGGCGGTGCAATACAAGCATACGTATGGCAACATGGAACATGAGAGGGTTAGGGGTAACAGGGGGAGAGACGGACCAAGAGATCAAAGTCAAGGTACTGCTCACTCGAATGGCGGAGCAGCAGTGGGACATTGTTTGTCTTACGGATTTGCAGTTTCCGGAGGATGGGATACGTGAGTACCATTTTGGGGGACGAGAATGGTTTCTGTTGGTGCGGGGTATGGTGGGCTTCTTGCTGTCGGATGTGTGGTATGATTGGTGGGAACAGGGCGGAGGGGTGGTGTACCAGAGGCGGACAAGGGCAGCGGCCATTAGCATTCCCAGACGGGGCTGGCGTAGGGGTCTCTGGATTTGCTCGGTGTATGCACCTACAAGCGCGTCGGGAGTTCGGGAGCGGACAGCGTTGAGACAGGAGGTGTCTGTTTTGGTGGAGGCGGCTCCTCCTACAACCATGGTCATCATAGCAGGAGACTTTAACGCCGAAATGGGCAACAACGTGGATGTGAGTAGGTCGGGACACAGTATCATGGGCCCGTTCGCGGGGCCAAAGGTCACCAAGCCGGGGGCAGAATGGCGGGATTGGTGTGAGCGAAACGGTTTCAGGGAGGCTGGCAGTCGGTTCAAGCAGAGGCGCCGCTGTACATGGCGGCACCCACGGTACCGCTCGGATCATGAACTCGACCATTTTTTGGTTAGGGAGCAAGACTTGTGGCATCTTCAGTCATGTCGCATCCTGTATGACGGTCCGAGTGTTAAGGGCTCATGGACGGGCTACACGGATCATAATCCGGTTGAATGCGTGCTACGGGTTGGGAAATGGTGGAGGCCTAAGAAGGGCCGAAGGGCCTCCAAACAAAACCCGGACTTAGCAAAGCTGCGTGGATCAGGGGGGCAGGCAAAAGAGCTTAGGGAACGCTGGCAGGGGTTGGTGGAAAGTCGTCTCAGGGATCTGAGACAGGAATTGGATGGCACCGTTGATGAGACGTATAAGTGGGAAAGGGTGTGTGAGGTCTGTCGTGGGGTAGCCTTGGAGGTGTGCGGAGTGGTAAAAGATGCAGGGGGGTCGCCGTGGCTGCAGCTGCATGCCAAGGAGCTGCAGGAGCTGGACGACTGGATAAGGGAGGCGCAGTTAAGGGACGCAGCGGCGGGGGAACAAGAGTATGTCGCGGTGCGGGCAAGATTCCGGAGGCGGTTGCATGAGGCCAGGAGATGCAAGCGACTGAGTGTGCGCGGGTGGAAGGAGGACTGGTTGAGAGAACGGGCGCAGGAAGCCGATGCACTGATAGGAACGCCGGAGGCCCACGGAGTGTTTAAAATTGTCAAACAATTGCTGGCAGCCATAAAGGGGGACAGACGGGGTGGGGGGCGGGTCCGGAGCTCGGGCAAGGAAGAGCTGGAAGCATGGAAGGACCACTTCGAGGCTATACAAGCGGGGCGGGGTCAGGTCACAGAAGCGGTGTGGGGGGACGTCGAGGATAGGCCCGAGGAACCGGGACTGGCGGATTTCCCCACATGGGAAGAAATGCTGAGGGCTATTCGGGACATGAAATATGGGAAGGCCGGAGGGGTGGACGGAATGGTGGCAGAGTACTTCAAGTGGGCGGGTAGGGAACTGCACGAACGGCTGTTTGAGTTTCTCACGTTTTCGTGGCGCTCCGCCACACGGGCGGACGCGGGACGGGAAGCGGAATTGTGGCCGGAGGCATGGCGAGTCGGTATAGTGGTACCAATTTGGAAACGAAAGGGTAACTGGAAGGATAAGAATTCGTGGAGGGGCATCACACTACTGTCTGTGGGTTCCAAAGTTTTAGCGCGCATTTGCGCACACCGCCTAGCCAGATGGACCCAGCCGTGGTTAAATGCACTGCAGTTCGGGTTTAGACCTGGAAGCGGGGTAGACGATATACAGCAAATAACAAGGGGGGTCCTGGAAGAAGCTGCGCACTCCGCGCACGATCGCGTTTACCTTTTCCGCTTTTATGATCTAGAAAAAGCCTACCCTAAAGTGGCACGAGGTGCCTTATGGAAGGCGCTGGAGAAGAAGGGCTGTCCAATGTCTTTTTTGCGAGTATTACGGGGGATCCATGAAGATCCAAAGTGCAAAGTCAGACATCAGGGGCGTCTGTCATCTACTTTTGTGCCTGAGCGGGGACTCAGAGAAGGGTGTCCCTCTTCACCTATACTGTTCAATGTCTATCACCACTGCGTCATGGAAGTGTTTAGGGCCAGACGGTCCCGAAGGGCAGAGCAGGAGGGACAGACGCCTGGGTTGAACTGGGTTTTCAAGGTGGACGGGAAGGTGGGCAAAAGGCGGCTGGACAGGATCGAAGAGGGCAGAAATATCAAACGGGTCTGTCTGGGAGATTTCGCGTATGCAGATGACACGGGCATCATGGGGGAAGCGGCCGAGGTAAGAGGGGCGGAAAACGTACTTGTTCAGACAATACGGGATTTTGAGGGCAAAGTCAACCAGGAGAAAACAGAGGGTCTTCGAGTAATGAGGGAGGCGCGACCGGGCACGGACGTACCTTGGCTAGGGGAGGCGGGGACGGTAAAGCACGTGGGGGCCATGTTGGCGGAACGGGCAGGGCATGCGGCGGAAACACACAAGCGGGCGCAAAAGGCGGCGGGGAAAGTGTCTGAGGTGTCCGGGGCTTGGCTCCGAGGGCGCACAAAACATTACGCCCGCACTGACATCAGCGTGTCTACGCGCATCAAAGTACTGAAGGCCATCATAAAGGGTACCCTCATGAGCTTTGCGCGCACGCGCGCGTGGCAGACCAACCAGATCAAGCGCATGCAAGGGGTCATACACATAGCCATCCGGAGGTGTTTAGGCTATCGCCTTCGGGATCTGCGAAAAGCAGGTATCACTAATGAAGTGTTGCGAAACCTGGCGCAGTGGGAAAAATTTGATACGGCAGTCCGGAGGGCCAGCCTCCTGTGGCTCGGACACGTGGCGCGTATGCCGGTTGAGGCTCCACAAAAACAGGTCCTGTTCGGCTGGATAGATGGGCATGGCGCTAAGATGAGGTGCCCTTTTAAGCAGGCGCAGTGGCTTAACTCATGTTTGAGACACGCAGGGATCCCGGAAATGGACTGGTTCCGCAAAGCTCAAAATCGCAGTAAGTGGCGGGAGGAGGTGTGTAGAGCTTTTCCGGTGGAGGTAGTGTTGCAGGGGCGGGAAAGGGAATTGGACAAGTGGCGTTTGGGGAGGCCGGTGCCTGAGTGGGCAACGGTGCAGGGCGAACCAGAACCAGAACGGGAGCATGAGTGTAGTGAAGATGAGTTGGGGATCAGACTTAAGGGTCAT